CTGGAAAAAAACTCTCCAATTAATATATTCCTGATTATAAATTATTTCTCTTTTTTTGTGTTGCAACAGTTATGATTCTCACATCTCAATACTTTGTGATTAAGATTTAGGGAAAGCTAATTCATAAATCTTTATAGTTAGTTGATTTTTAATCATATCCTACAAGGGTTAGTCTCCCTTGAGCCATTTGATGAAAATGATAGAGCATGATCAAAATGTATGGATGCTTTTCACATACTGTGGTCAATGCAACTTTTTTGTTCATTTCATACTGAATAGAAAAGACAGCATCAAATGAAAAAACGGAGAGCAGAGAGAAAGAAAGTTACCCAATGCTTAATCAAATTTCCTTAGGAATGTTTGGTATGAGGGAAATGAGAGAAGGAGAGGGGACGAAAAATTTTAATGAACTTGATTTTAAAAACTAAAAAAGTGAGGTTAAAAGCTTTTACTTAATTTTTATTACTCTTTTTATTATTTCTTCTCTTTATTAAAATTTTAAAACCCCACTTTTCTAATTTTTTATATAAAGCTCATTAAAATTTTTCTTCCTCTTCCCTTCCTTCCATTTCCCTTGTAACAAACAATACCTAAGGTATACACAAATTAGTTTGAGCTACCGTATTTTACAGAAAATTACAATTGGAGGGTCACAAAGACAATTTAAAAAGAAAAGGCTTGTGCCAGCTTATATACGTCCTTCGATCATGCCCAGCTAGTAGCTACTATCAAATAATAGACTTAGCTTCACATGATCAGACTATGCAAATAGCAAAACTTAATTAGCAATGGTGCTGCCTTGATGACTTGCTCTTAACTTGAACAAGCATATCAGGTTTTGCAAAGCCTCCAGCTGTGCATGTGCAGCATCTGGAAAGAGAGCTTCTTTTGGCTTTTATACTGAGATCGTCAATCCGCCTATGAAAATGGAATCTCTTTGTTGGCTTTTTGGCATATCACTCAGCCGAGGCGTACGGTTATTGGCTCCTCCACGTTTCAGAAAGTTTCGCATGCTTTATTGAGTCAGTTAATTTGGGTCAAGTGAGGCCAAGAATCAACTCATAATCTATAAAGTCGTGAGTTCGAATCCCACTACTGATGTGAAAATTTTATTGGTGGATAATCTGTAAATATTTAAAGCCTGAAAATATATCTTGATCTGAGAATCTTAGGCATTCAACTTACTTAAACTTTTTTTGTAAAGAAAAAAAAGTTGAAGCCTCTACCAACTGACAAGATTTTTATTTTTTATTTTTTATTTTTTTGCTGTAACTTATTCCAGTGCCCATCATAACAATGACACCTAACCAATGATCTTTATTTTGAATTTTGTATATATTAAAACAAAAAATTATTTAATATATAAAAATATTAAATTGGATCAATAATCCAAAATCAATCTCGGTGGTTCTTATTATGATGAGGGTATTATGCATAGTAAATTCACATTTTTATTATTGTTTTTCAAAACATAAATACAAAAGAGAATTTTTATAAGTTATGTTTGTTTATTTTATCTCTTTTTGTTTTATTTTTTCGGCTCATAATTAGCGCTTCTTTATACTACCTCGGATTCTAATTATAAGAGCAAATTGACTAATTTGAGGAGATCAAGGAAGTAAATTGAGTTAGTTATTTGTCTTATATAGGTGTTGTTTTTCCTAAAATATCCTTGCTAATCAAGTGTATTGACTAGAACTATCATTGTTAGAAATGTTATTTTAGAAAAAATGTATAAATATGAGAGACAAAGTGGATTGGGGTCTTATATTTAGGACCAAAATAAAAGTCAAACAGGATCTTATATTAAGGACCGGAGGTAGTACTGTATTTACTTATTTTGAATTTTAATGCCCAAAGTAAATATACTAATGTTCTCTACAACGAATGAGATGACTAAAAGCAAAGCTAACTTTTACAGGCCTCTCCTTTTCCGTGTGACTTCCGAAAAAGCTTTAACGCATAATTAGGAAACTACGTTGAGACTTTCTCCCAAGTTTCTTAATTAATAAAAAACTAGAAATGATTCAAATTTAATAAATGCATGATGGCCAATTATATATACCTATTATATAACAGATAATTATATATACAGCTTCATACTCGTTTATCCCATGGGAAATACAGGACGAAAATGAACGTTCTTGTAGTAGCGTAGCATGAGGAAGGAAACCTTCTTTTGATTCCACAGAAAGAACATCAAAAAAAAAAGAGAGGAGGGGACTATTATAAGCATTGCTGATTGACTGATCAATGAGCCCTTCTACTTTCCAAAATAAGTACAGAACAAATGAACCTACAGAATCGGTGGAGGAGATTGAAACTAACAAAATATAAGATTTAATTTCATTCACGTGCTTAACATGGGATATATAAATTGTTCTCTTAGAAAATCATGTAGAAATAACATCCATATATATTGAATGGAGGCTGGGTCCGGTTGATTTTAATTTAATTTCAATATAACAGTTAAAGAATTAGTTTTTATTTAAGGGGAAATTGCAAATAAAGACTCCTGAATATGTAATTGTGATTTGGGATCATGAATTTAGAAAATAGCAAATAAGGACCTGGTCCCACTCTTGCAAATATGAAATATGGGTGAAATGCCTGGAATGCCCCTAAGCCAAATTGTGATTTGGTCTATTGAAATTGTCATTCACTAAAGTGAACTTGTTATTTCCTATAAATAATTTGTTATTTAGCATACCCTTAGTCAAGTTGTGATTTAGTCTACTAAAGTTATCATTCGTTAAAGTGAACTTGTTATTTCTCATAATCAACTTATCATTTAGCTGAGAGATATTTCAAATATTTCACCTACATTTCATATTTACAAAAGTGAGACCGGGTCCTTATTTACTATTTTTTAAATTTAGGGTCCCAAATTGTAATTTTACATATTTGGGAGTTTTTATTTGTAATTTTCTCTTTATTTAATTTAGCCTATATGTAATTACCTATCCAAGCTACAATCCCAACCAAATAATTAATCTGCCAAATCGTGTACCTGTGAAATATTTCATCCTGTACAAGTTACATCAAGTAACAAATGCATACACTAAATGCGAATGGATTCTAGAGTAGTCCCAGAAAACTAAGATTTGTAAGTCGCACTTTCTTCCATCAGCTTCCTATGTCTTCATTAACTGATGAGATATTCATCTTTGATATTCGCAAAGCCTTTCCCAGCAACTTCAGTAATTTGATCTGCCCTTACGACATAGAAGCGATGAAACTCCAATCCTTAATTATGATGTGGGATTGGGGCGAGGGAACCCCAAAGGGTTGCAAAACATTCACAATCATTTTTCCTCTTTTTTTTTTTTTTTAAATAAATATAAAAGTTTAAATAAGTTAAATTTCGGCCCTCATTAGACTAGTATGCCTTTACCTGGGCTTTGGCATACGCACAGTTGGAATACTCTGTTTTGAAAAATAAAGATAAAGTTCTCTATTTCTGCGGACGTTGCAAAGAAGAGAGAGCAGAAGTAGAGACACAAGAATAGTTATTCACAGAGTACTTATAGAAAGAGACTCATTTAAACCGTAAGCCAAGATTATAAAAGCCCTTTGTGCCAAGAAAATCCTCATTGACAGAGTTATGCAAGGGAACAGACGAAAATGAACAGAGTTGCAGAAGACAATGAACTTGAACCTTGAAATCAAAATGTATGAATGCTTTTCACATATTGTCATCAATACAACTTTTTTTGTTCATTTCATACTGAATGGAAAAGACAGCACCGAATGAAGAACGGAGAGCAGAGAGAGAGAAAATTATACGAAGAGTGGAATATAAGCATTGCTGCTTGATTGAACAATGAGCCCTTCTACTCTGTTTAGCCGGCAAGGGATCTGTAAAAAATAAGCACTGAACAATTGGACAGAGTCGGCGGATGAAATTGAAACCAACAACATATAAGATTTCATTGGCATGCTTAACTTGAGATATGAAAATTTGCTCCAAAGAAATTAATGCAAGGACAAACCTCAACAAATTGGGGCTGCCACACCAGGTGCATGAGGTGACAGGCATCGGGCGAGTCAGAATCTTCTTCGCTTTCACTGGTTTCATGTTCTTCACGATCCTTGTCCCTATTAATTATAACCGCGATCAGAGGCTCAAATGATTCATTCCTCATTTGATCAGGCTCTGCTTCAGTATTAATAACTTCATTCTTAGACAGGAAGCTAAATGCGTCAGGAACTTATGCAAACTAAACTAACAACCCTGATTAAATTAAGAACTTCGAATTACCGTCCAATATTAAATCCCGGCTATCAAATGTTAACCTCAATCAAATCTTTGGGGTATTCCTAATTAAAGGCAACTTTGCAGATTCTTAAATATTTCCAAAACTGTGGTAAAACTTTTTTTCAGAGCAAGATGATCGGATGAATTGAACGAGATCAAACTTTCCAGGCTGCTGATTATGAGTTTACGACTTTAATGGATGCAGCCTTATGAATATATATATACAAATGAGATGGAAATGATGCCGCCATCCGAGGGACAGGCATTGAAAAAGAAAGATGAGAAGATATTAATGTTCAAAGATCGAACCTGATGTTTCTTGTTCTTCTCATATTCTTCAGATGCTCTCTAGTGATTATATTCCCAGACTGCTTCTTCAATTTCGCACGCAGATGAAGTTGATCTCTATATTTGCAAGCTCCTTCAATGGCTTCCTCAATTTCCATAAATCTTTTTCTTTCTCAATCTGCTCAGTTAATTTCCCGTGATTATGAAATATTATAAGTAAGAAATAATCAGCTTAATGTCCATCAGTTGAATCCAATTCTTCAAAAATGTTAAATTAATTATATGTATGCCAATCCTTCACAAAAAGAAAAAAAGGAAGCATGTCTCTCGCTAGTAGTTACAACCAGAGCATACCATTTTGAGGTGGAGGCGGGAGAGTGATATATGAAGTTGAAGCAGTGGGCAGATGAATTGAACTTGAGAGCTGTAAAACTCAAAAACCATGTTATGAAATTCATCGAAGTAAGCTGTGATATTTGCGCTTTCGAGAGGCCGATTGCGTTGCATTAGAGCTACGATGTGGATGCAATAATGCCAATTGAATTCGCTTGATGTCATTTTGATATTCAACTGCAGATGTCGGGCACACCCCACACTCTTTGATCTCTACTGTTGTTTCTTCATCACAAGGTGCGAATTCAATTTGAAGCAATGGATGATAAGTGTTGCTTTGGGCTTCTATTTTCTTTTCTTCAAATGTCCATTGTAGTTGTCGACGTGACAATTGATCGTACCAAAGAACAACATGATCTGACAACATGGACTCACTGAGAGACAACCATGCAGACATGGAAGCACATTGACCATCAATAAACAATTTGACCGTAATTTTTGCAACCCGTGGTGATCCAGAAGTGACGGCGCAAAAAATGAAAGCGCCATCCCAAGGTTGTGGAATCGAACTGAGATCCACAGTCAGGAAAGACCCTGTAGTCCTATACATGACCCACTCTGCAACTCTATTCCCCGGATATTTCACTGTAGCCCCGTAATCATTGTCTTTGTTATTATTTATGTCAAGTATCAATGTGGCCTCAACAGCTTTGATTGACTGCCCATCCAACTTCATGCAATTTCTGAAACTGAAGGTCGGATGAAAATATTGGTTTCCTTCTCTATCTTCACTCATTAAAGGTGAATGTAAAGTCTCAACGGACAGGCAGTCATCGACCAACAGTGTTGAGATGAAGGGAGGGAGTTGTGGTAGAGACCGAAGCCTTTTGCATCCATTTAAGATGAGATGTTCCAGGCTTGAAAGATGTTTGATGCTTAAAGGCAAGGTCTCTATATTACTCCTCGAGAGATCTAACCGCCATAATGTCGACAACAAGCTGATGTTGTCGGGCACTTCATATAATTCACTACAATCAGTCAGCTTTAGATCTCGCAAAGCACGCATCTCATCAAATTTGGAAAGTAGATTTGACGCTAGCTTATTACAATATGCAGCCTCAAGGCATTCAAGGGTACGCAGGTCAACCAACTTGTGAAAACTTGTCACACCTTCGCATCTTCCTAGAATCAAAGTACCAATTTTGCTGAGATGTCCGCTTGATGAGCACAACTCACCATTGATGGGTACATAGCAAAGTTCCAAGTCAGACAAAAAAATTTCTGAGGTCACCGAAAATTCTCTGAGTGCTGAGCATCCCATCAAGTAGAGTTCCTTCAGTGATTTGAGATGGGTGTTGCTCGTAAGGCTGGTAAGGGCTTTGCAGTGAATTAGCAATAAACATCTAATGCTATGGAGAGATAAAATAGATGGATGAACATTCTGCAATTTTGTACAATATCCGAGAAGGACTTGTGCAAGATGTATGGCCTTGGAAAAATTTGGGAGCTCAATCAAGTCTTTTGATCTACAAAGATTGATTTTGATTAAATTCACAAGATTCTGTAAAAAAAAAAAAAATCCATGGTAAGATTGGTGGCAAAAAGGAAAATAATTACTCTCTCTTATCCTTTTTTAATAGTTTTACTAAAAAATTACTTATTAATGTGGAAAGGTTTTACAACTTTCTAAGATTACACTTAATCAGTAATCTTTATAAATATTGGTGTGATGGTGAAATACAAACGCATTTTTTAGAATGGGTGCTGTCAGTCTTTCATTGAATTTTTTAAGAGGTTTTAAAGACCCATAGGTAAAGGCTTACAAATAATTAAGACTAAAGAAAAGGCACATAATCAAAATTTTCAACTAGTGCATTAATAATATTTTCAAAGAAAAATATAAAATTTACCTGCTCTCCATCCCAAAGTTTTGTCAATTTGCTGTCAGGCATGTTTATTTCAACAAGATTTTCACCCTTGAATGTTGTCGGCAAGGTCCTTAAAGGGCATCCCACCCAATCCAATAGCATGAGGTTTCTTGACAAAAACTTCACACCAGAAGCATTTAACTCGTTCCTAAGCTGAACATTTAAATTTCCATAAACCCTAAGAAACTTTAGATCGGGCATTGAACGAAATGCTTTATTAATTACGCGCCTCTTTTCAACTTCTGAAAGGTTCATAACCATGCCTTCAATACTTACCTAACAAACAAAAAATAATTATAGTAATAAAAAATTATATAAATCAAATAGGAATTTGGAATTCAACAATCTTTTTAATAAATAAATGTATAAATTTCACACTTACCATATTTTTCTTCAATAGTTCAGAACTTTTCTTGAAAAGCCAAAATGTTTTGCACCATGTAGGATGTTTTAATGATTCTTCACGAACAATTTGTTTACCCATTTCTTTTATCAGATTGTGCATGCGTATTCTTCCTTCATGAATATTTAAAAGAGCTTTATCTTCAAGACTCATCAATCCAATATCGGTTGAATAACCGCATGCATCTAACCATTTTTTTACATCCTCAACATCATAATAATAATTGAAAAAACATGCGATATGTGAGAAAATATTTTTCTCTTCCTCATTATCAAGTCCTTCAAAGCTCAATTTGAGGATATCATTGACTTTTGGACAAGGTAATTTTTGAAGCTTTTCAAATTGGCTTTTCCATGCTTCTTGCTTTTTGCCATGCAAGGAGGAGCCTAAAACCTTTAGGGCCAATGGATTTCCACCTGCATATTCAATCACTTTTTGGGCTAGCTCGCTTATCTTTGGATCACTATAGCCTTTTTTGAAGGCATTTAAGGAGAAAAGTTGAAAAGCTTCATCAGGATCCAAACCATGAAGCGCATATATATTATTATCATCCACTTTCGTACGAAGCACTTGCTTATCTCTGCTTGTTATTAAGACTTTGCTACCTGATCCAAATTCAAGTCTTCCAACTAGATTTTCTAATTGTTCAAGATCATCAACATCATCAAGCACAATTAAAACTTTTTTTCGACGAAGCCTACTTATGGTATGAGGATATATTGCATTGCCAATGTGAGATTCTTTATCCCCTAATAACCTCCAAAGGAATTCTCTCCTTAAAGCATCCATTCCATATTTCTTTGATTCTTCCATTACGTCCAGCAAGCAAGACCCTTCATATGTAAAAAATAATTTGTTAAATAATGCTTCTGCAAGAGTTGTTTTGCCTAAACCGCCCATCCCCCAAATTCCAATGAATTGACAGCCACCATTGTTTGAACCTTTGTCCAACAATGATTCTACATCTGCCATTCTTTTGTGAATTCCAATCAAGCCTTTTAGATAATATTCACTTTGATACCAAGGGCCCAACTTTTGCATGACTTGATTCACTATTTCTTTAATTAGCTCCGCTTCATCCCTACACACCATTGAAAAAATAAAGAGGCACCAAATTTAATACCACATTATCTATTCATTTCAATTTTTGAACTATTTCTATTGACATGTAACTATGAAGATTTGCCAATTTTTAAAATTTCTTATAATATTTTTTTGAGAAATATTACTTATATTAGATGACATAACTAGACATATATATATATATATATGAAATTCCAGCTTCATCTTATGGCTACGAATGCATCGTCATGACCATAGTGAGACAGGGATTGAGATTAAAATATCATAAGAGTAAATTGATTGACCCGGTGGACTGGTTAAGCATAGTGTACAAGAGAAGCTATTCTCTTTATGATCAGCAGCGTAACTTCCATTAAATGCCTCAAAGATTGATTTAATTTAGCCTCAGGCATGGATGAAAATGATAAGAGGAAGATCATAAATATGCAGTTACCTATTGAAGCCACAATGCCAACCAGACAAATTGGCAGCTTGAGTAAGAGCCTCCCTCCACCTTTGCAGTTGTTGATTGTTGATGTTTCTTTTGCACTCATGTTCTTCAAATGCTTTCTTGTAACTCCCAGACTGCTTCCTCACATCGGAAGGATCCACTCTATAGAACACCGGCATAACAAAGCAACCTTGATTTTTGGAGCACTCTAATATTTTTGCAAGCTCCTTCAGGCACCACGTGGAAGATGCATAGTTTTCTGAGAACACCACAAGGAACAGAGTTGAATCTTCAATGGCTTTCTCAAGAGACGGCCATACCTCATCTCCTTTCTCAAGTCTATAGTCGATGTATGTTTCTATTTGGTTTCTGCGAAGAGCTTCATGAAGGTGGCTTGTGAAGTTGAATCGGGTGTCACCTCTGAAGCTAATAAAAACATCATATTTCTTTGGAGATTGGGAAGATGGAGCAGAGGAAGAAGATGAAGCCATATCAAATTGCTTGGCTACGATATGCCAAAAAAAAAGGGGACTGCTTTCGATTCAGATCTAAGAACGATTGGTAATAGGAAACAAACCGGCCTAAGAGGAAGATATATAAGATTTTAGGGGAATAGATTGAGTCAACCAAGTCAGTGAAAGATGGAACACAATGAATAATAAATAATCATAATAAATTATAAATAAAACCAAAGCTAACTTTTAGAGATTTATCATAATACAGCTTCCATACGTGTGACTTCTGAGAAGTTTCACATGGCCTGATCCTCAAATTTGAAAATTCAAAGAAACGCGGTCCTCCTACCCAATTAGTAGTGTGTGGAAAAGACAGCACTAAATCAAAAACATAATATAGAGAGTAAGGAAATTCCACTGACCCTGTCTCCGAAATGCTGACCAAATATCTTTGAGACCTTCACCCAAAGCTTTGATCAAATTTTCTAAGGGATGGTCCAAAAAGAAAAACAAAATAAAAAATCCCAAGCAAATAGAAACGCCTGCGATCAAATTTCCTAATGAAATTTGGATTAATAAAGCACTATAATTACACCTCTCTTACTTATGTTGCATGTTTAGTGTTCGCCTCTAGAAATATAAGGTTGAACAAATACTTATTTTCTTCAAAAAATAATAACGTATATTATCAAAACATTTAACGTGAAAGCCAGAGCCAGTAAGCATTGGAGTAGAGGAGGGTGTGACTGTGAGTAAAAAACGCAGAGGAACAAGTACGAATTGCGCGTGACAGTGAGAATGGTGGAGCCTCATAAATAGTCATGTGTCTTATTTTGAGGAATGATGTTAAACAATGTTTTGTATAAAATACCCCTTATGAATAAATAAAATAACTCAGCACTTTTTATCGCGCCAGTCTATTGTCATATAGTTTTTCTTCTTGATGAATGACATTTATATTTTTACTAAAAATATATGACCTTGCCCACCTTGGATTGAAGTTGAGAAAATGCAAAGCGTAAATTGAGGGTAAGAGTAAAAAAGAAAAAAAAAAAAAAAGGGGTTTTAAGACATAATAAGTTAATGCTTGCGAAGCTTGCAGGAAGTTCACAAAACAACAAACAAAAAAGTAGAATAAAGCTACTTTTGACTTTCATGCGGAGATCGTCAATCTGCCTACGAAAATGGAATCTCTTTGTTGGCTTTTGGCATATGACTCAACCGACGCGTATAGTTATTGGCTTCATGCTTCAAAAAGTGTAGGGTGCTTTAATGAGTAAGTGAATTCGGGTCAAGTGAGGCCTTATCCATGATAGTTGATCAAGGTGTTGATTTATAACTTATAAAGTTATGAGTTTTAATTATACTGTCGATATAAGAATTTTGTTAATAGATAATTTGTAAACATTTATATTAGCACTTTTGTGGTCTGAAAACATATCAAAGTCTCTGAGACCTAATTCACCTAAATTATTTTGAAAAAAAAAAGTGAATCCTTTAGAGGATTTTTTTTTTTTGCCGTAACTTATTCCAATGCCCATCATAACAATGACATCTAACCTTTTTAATATTTTTAATCTGTAATTTTATTATAATAAATATATTTTTTTAAGAAGTGACAGTGATAAAATTATCTTTATTTTGAATTTTGTATATATTTAAAAAAATTATTTAATATATAAAAATATTAAATTGAATTAATAATCTAAAATCAATTTGTGTAATTCTTATTATGATGAGGATATTGTACATAGTAACTTCACATTTTTATTATTGGTTTTTTTGGGCTGGTCAAAAAAAGAAAGAAAGAGAAGTTTTTATAAATTATGTATGTCTATTTTATCTCGTTTTATTTGATTTTTTCTTGGCTCATAATTAGCGCTTCTCTATACTGTATTTACTTTTTTTTTAATTTTAATGCCCAAATCAAATAGAGTTGTGTTCTTGACAACGAATAAGATGATGACTAGAAGCAAAGCTAACTTTTACAGGCTTACCCTTTCCGTGTGACTTCCGAAAAAATTTTATTGCATAATTACGAAATTACCTCGAGAGTTGAGACTTTCTCCCAAATTTCTTAAAGGCCTTCACCCAAAACTTTATAAATAATCACAAATTGCAAAGAAAGGCGGTCCCACAGAGAGAAGGGAAACTCCGCTGAAACTTTGTCCGAAATGTTGAAAGCTTAATCAAATTTCCCCAGAAATTATAAACGCCTGCTGTCAAATGTCCTGATGGAATTTGGTTAAATAAAGCATTATAATTACACCTCTCTTACTTGTGTTGCATGTTTGGTACTCTTCGCCTCTAGAAATATAAGATTGAACAAATACTTATTGTCTTGAAAAAAAAAACATATATTATCAAAAAAATTTTAAAGTGAAAGCCAGAGCTAGTAAGCATTATAGTTTTAGCATTTCAAAACTGCAAGTTTTGAGAATTTTTATTATATTTATTATTAGTCCTCATTTCCTCTCCTCTTGATAGACCAAAAGGCCAGTCAATTGCGCGCAGAGGATGGTGTGGTGTGACTGTGAGTGAAAAACACGGAGGAATAAGTACGGATTACACGTGACAGGGAGAATGGAGGAACCTCACTCACTCTGTTTGGATGGGCGTTAAAACCAACAAACGTGTCTTGGTATTAACATTTATACCTTGTTTGGGCAGACTTTTTTTCCAATGAGCTAAGCTAAAATTTGAGCTTTTTTAGTTTGGAACGTGGAGAGAGAAACAAATGAGGATTTAAAAAAAAAAAGAGAATAATATTTAAGTGGATCCTATACTAACCCCATGATTTAATTTTTTGTGTTAGTAATAATTTTTTTAATACTTACAAACTTTTTTAAGAAAAATATTTAAGTTAGACTACTTATATTTATTATATTAAGTTCTCTAATTACACATGATCATGTGTTCATTTTTTTCATGTAAGTTTATAATTAAATATTATTAAATGTAAATATTTTAAAAATAGGACATATGGTCATGTGTGATCGGAGAATTTGACATAATAAATATAAGAAAATTGATGTGAGTAATGTCCTTTTTTTAATAATGTGTTAACTCTTCTTATTTTTATTATTTTTATTTTTATTTATTATTTTTCTTAAATTTATTAAACTATATATATGAGATCTATGTTGATTTTTCAGTCATTTTACATGTAAATTTACTTTTCTATTACTCATCCAAACAAGTTTCAATTTAGCAAACTGACATTTATAACAAATCAATCCAAATATAAATCACATTACGCTAATTGACTTTTATCCGAACTGATTTTTGCAAAAGTCATATGGAATAAGAATCAATTTTGTCACACCTAATCCAAAAACACCATAAATAATTATTTGCATCGTATTTCATATATAATATTTAATTAATTTTAAATAATTTTTTATTTACATAATTCAGTTGGTTGTCATTTATTATGTTTGAATGAATTTTTAAACTCAAATTTGTTGTTGACATGTTCGAATGGGCATGCGTTTCATTTGCATTAAACAAAATAAAATAACTAATTTTTTTTCTAAAGATACAAAGGCAAGCAAAACTTGAAAATAGATAACCTATAACTTAGTTTTAATTGTGTCCCTTAGCCTTCATTCCTTACGGAAAGTAATTACGGCAACAGAAGTTAAAAGAAAATCGCTCCTAAGTGACCTGTCGGCAAAACGAGTCTAATGGTTGCTCGAATTCCCTTATTTTAAAAAATTTTGTATTGTGTGAGAATAATTTTTATTCATAAAACGTAAAAATAAATTTTTAATTGATTATTAGGGGCATTTAGCCAATGATGTGCAAGTTTTGACCTTTTTAATTATTATTAGCTCTCATTTCCTCTCCTCTGTAATCAAACGAGCTAACATAGAGGATCGTTTGATTTCCATTTTTGAACCTTTTTTAGCCTTTACCAAAAAGCTTGGTTACGTAAAATGCATATTATTGTACTTTTTCCTATCCTAGTTGGTTAGAATATTTCTTTTGATATTAAATATAAATTTTATTTTTTAAATTCATAAATTTTACTTAAACTATCTCTATTTATTGTGAAAAATAAAAAATATGATGCTTGTAATTAACTGAAAGTAAAAATAAAAAAAATTAAACGATGATATATTTTAAAACTATATACCGAAGCCAACCCAAAAAGTTCCCGCAAATGTTTCCACTGATACGGATTGCGGGTGACGGTGAGAGATTTTTTCCAATATTTTTCTTACATTTAGACTTTAAGAGTTATTGATTAACCTAAAGAAGACGTTGTATCATTCAAAATTCAAAAAGTACGTATGAATCTCGCACTATTGGAGCTCTGTAAGAACCTTGATTCACTTCTGGTAAAAAAAAAAAAAAGAACCTTGATTCACTTTTTCTTGTTTGATTTGAATATTTATTTGTTAATTGTTAATACTTATAGTCTATTATAAATTTTATACGTTTTATGTTGATCACCATGCATTGGGTAAGAAGCTGTAACCCCCCCCCCCCAAAAAAAAAAGAGAGAAAATAATAACAGAGGCCGATTTATTTTAGCTTGACTAAGATTTGTTCATTCCAGTATCCCTTCGTCGTTAAATGGACTTAAATGTATTCAAAATTTGAACAGTGAAAGCAAGAGTGAAGAAAATAAGGGGAGAAAAACTCTCCAATCAAATACTCTCCCTAATTATAAGCCTCAGTTCTTCTAAATACACATAAAAGCATATGTGATTTTATGTGATTTTGGTCTTTTATAGGAAGTATTCTAGGAAAAATGTTTTAATTATATCCAGAATTTTGTGATGAGACTTATAACTGGGGACCAAACCAAATCTAAAAGCTAGGACTTATGTTTAGAGAAAGAGGCTCTTCTCGGCTCCCCTCCTTTCCCCAAATCATTGTCGTTTTGGGTGTAAAATGAGGGGTACTGCCTTTTTTTTTTTTATTTTAAATAACATCTAGCATCTTGAAGTACTCTTTCGATCTTTAATATAAAATCTATTTAACTAATTTAATTAGATTAAAAAAGTGATATAAGTTAGTTAATTATAAGAAATATGATATATTTTTCTTAAAACACCATAATCATTTTCTTTAATATCCTCCTTCCCTTTTTTACTTGATTATGATTGAGGGAATATCCATATGGGTAATTTAGAAAAATTATGAGAAATTGGTCTTACATTTAGAACCAAAATCAACTCAATAATTAGGTCTTACATTAAAGACCGGAGAAGTATTATTTAGTAACTCCTAATATCTTAAAATAATTTTAAATAGGAGATGGAGAGTCAGGAACACACGAAGAACCAGAACTTACAATTCAAAAGGATAGGCTGCATTTCACTAATATACAAAATGATAATACTTATACCCAAAAAAAAAAAAATAATCACTGCACATTGGTCCTGAAATAGATCCTCTGTTACAAGTGAAGGTAACACACAGTCCGCGAAAGAGAAAGGTGAGATATTTGCGCTTTGGAGAAAACTGCTGAGCGTGATGTCTGTTGTTAAAGCAGTGACCAAAGTGCGAATGCTCTGTTGAAGTAAAAAGATAAAAGCAAAGTTTCCTCCGTTTGAGAATACTGCAAAGGATGATTTTTTGGTAACTGCCAGAGATATTTTGGTGTTTCCATTTTTTATTCGAAATAAATAAGTCTATGCTTTTTTTCTTAAAACTGTACCAAACACACCCATGGTAATTAAGATTACATGGCAATGCATTCCATTTCGGATAGAAGGGAAGCCTAAATGCGCAACTTAACTTGCCCAACCTGTGTATTTCCGCCAACTGGACTTTGCAAGGACTAAATTTCCATAAAACTTAAACTAATAGCAGGTAAGTAGCACCACACGATGATAATATTTCATCAAGTCTATAGTCGATGTATGTATCTATTTGGTTTCTGCGAAGAGCTTCATGAAGGTGGCTTGTGAACTTGAAGCGGTTGTCCTCACCTCTGAAGCTAATATTTCTTTGGAGATTGAGATGAGGAAGCAGTGGAAGAAGATGAGGCCATATCAGATTGCTTGGCTACTATAATGATGAATTAGGAATTTATCATTATCTCAGCTATATTCATTCTTCTTCACGTCTCTGTTTTGATTTTGGTCTTCGTTCATCGGATGACTTGAAAATCGATGTTCATGAGCTGCATAATGATGAATTAGAAATTTATCAACAGGGGCAGAAAGAAGAGACTTTACATGGTTTCATCAATACCAATGTGGTACGCACACACCATAATAATGTTGAAGCTGTTGAGCTATCCTTTCGTACAGTCATGGTATAGGGAAAATTCCTTGTCTCACATTTTTCTGTTTTGAATTGTCTGGTAAACTATAGTTTGTTTTAAAGGTTTTTATTTTTATGTGTTTTTTCAGGTTACCTGTGGGGGTTCTTCCTCTTTAAAGTTTGACGATTCATTTTGTAGTATGATGGGGCAGAGTTTAGCAGTCGGAGATAGAGTTAGATATTTCATTGCCAACCATAACTGCCTAATGGCCTAACTACCACCGAATATTATAGTTGCTCTTAGCATGCAGACCCTGAAATTTCGACCTCTTAAAGGTGATCAATATTTACATCTTTGATTAATATTTAAGTTAGTCCTGTGCTTGTTACATCCCTAACTTTTGAATATTTTTGCTAATAATTGACTTTTAGAGTTTAAGACAAAAATCTATGTTCAAAGCTTTTACTGTGTTCATGCCTGGAAAAACTGTTTTGCTTGTTCAGTGTTTAGTTAATATGTTCTCTATTTGCATAATCTTGTTTGCTCTCAATAAATTTCGCAGAGTTTTTCCTGATATAGAAATTACCAACTTCCATGTATTGTATAATATTAACAATCAAAAGTGTGCATTTAAGATAATTTATTTGACTCACAAGCCTGGTGAAGATATATGGAAGAATTCATTGAAACTATGTTGTAGCCATACATATTGCCTGGGAAAAGACATATCCGATGATGCCATTGATTTTTATCAATATTATAATCACATGGGCATTGACTGGTAAGAACGAGGAGTATGGTTAACAGTAAAGAGATGGACAAGGAACTTTATAAAGGAGCAATGTTAAGTCAATTCTAACGACTCTGGTATCAACTATCAACCATGACTTGCTCTGCTTTTTGAGTCCTGCATGTTACCCTGCATATTTATTTAATGAAGCACGCGAGTTACTGTCGTCATGATAGGAAGTTGATTTGGTGTTTCTTATTGCTTAATCAAGTGTATAATTTAGTCTGAATTCATATGTAAATATTGGGGCTGTGAATATAATGTAGAGTAATTTAATACTTTAATATGTGAAGTAGCATGACAGAGACAGCAAAGCTCTTAATGGCTTGAGGTTGCAAGTGTGATTAAATCTGCGACCTCTTATTTACAAGAGAACTCTCATGTCACTAAGTTATAAAATTATTGGCCATATCAAAGGGATTTGATGATCATATGTACAAAACTTTGAATTTCATGCAATTTAGGGATCAAGTTTAGTTAGTATATATGAGAATTTTGCAAAACATTCTGCTCCAAGAACACATCGTTCAGCCTCATTTTATCTGTGTACAAAAGCAGCTTTTCAATTTCTCATAACTTTATTTTTTTTCCCTTTTGGGTAACCTTTTTTTTTTGGCGTGGAAAAGCTTTGTATAGTAGAATCGTACTTACAAAATGGTGTTATGGTGTGTTTGATGGGGGTCTAATTTAGTTTAATAATAATGATATTATGATTGTTCAGTATTGAAATTAATTTTGTTATTTGGAGTATCAAACTATCTTCATTCTTATTTTATTATTTGGACTAATTTAGTTTATTTTGGATTTTCAGGAAACTAAATTTAGTAGCTCATTGGATTGCTGATGTATATCCCAATTAACGCTTTTTATGTTCTTTTAGTGCGTGACGTTGAACTTATTTATTTTTGATGCTTTTGTTTCACTGCTTTAATGTGACTTCATTCATATTTTTTATCACATTTTTTAAATGTTTGAATTTGAAACTCCCTCTTGTTCTTTAATTGTGCTTTACCGTCTTCATCACTTCTCTCTCTTCCTCCTGCGTACAACAATATCTCTTCCGCGGTCTTTCATGCTCTCTTCTTGGCTCCATATTGCTCTCTAATTTCCGGACCACATATTACTACATGCGTCTCATTAATGTTGTGTATTTAGACATTGACTAGAAACGAAGTTTCCACCATGTTAATTGTGTTGTCAAACTTTATCATTGAGCTTTAATATATTTTATTACTATGATAGGTTACTTAAAGAGACTTTAAATATATTTTAAAAAAGTAGTGCTGCCTGATCCTATAACAGGAATTGGGCAAAAATTACTGAAATGTGCACCACCCACCAATCAAGATTGTGGATGATCAATGTTGACACTAAAGGATATCAATATTTACATCTTTGGTTGATATCTAAGTTAGTCATGTGATTGTTACATCCTTAACTTTTGAATCTTTTTGCTAACTGATGTAGCGTTTCAATTACTGAAAATGATCAATACCACTAGTTCGTACTACTCTTACCGATTTTAAATATAAAACTTATTTTGTAATATAAATTTATATTAAAAAATAGATATTATATTTAAGAAGGGAAGAGTAGTCGTTAAACTGAAGGATCTGTAGATGTAGGTTGTCAGTCGATGGACTGGACAAAGAATGGAAAAAATTAAAATTTTCAAAGTTCTTTGTAACACAGTTAGCGAAGAATTGCGAGGAAGCTTCTGGGTTTACTCCAATGCTATTCCCCCAACTTTCAGAACATACTAACCGCGTTTTGGAAAGTTCCTGAGGTATTTTGCAAATATCTATGGAAATTAATTTTTTTCCCAGAAATGCCTTGAGTATATTGAAATTATTTTTTAAAAAATTAATTTTATTACTTTAAAAAGTTGTTATTTAATTATTTAATTTTTAAGTGACGAAGAAGTAATGATTTTTTACTTAATTAGATAATGAAAATTCACCGTCTTCTCAAATTGGTTCTGATTTTATTTTATTATCTAAGTTTAGAATTTGACAAATAACTAAAGTGTGAGTGAAATATAAGGTGAGATCTTGTATCCAAAAAAAGAAACACAACCAAGATTATGAGATAATGTAATGATCTATATATATATATTGTGCCGTTGTGATTCTCTTTATTTTTTGATAATAGCAACTTGTTAACTTCAAAATACGGGGAATTGTCAGGGTCACATACTCACACCTTTGAAACATAATATACACCGCAAACAACAAAACGCTCCTATCCCATCGGATGGAGTTTGAAACACAAATTTTATTTTTCTTTGTTTTCATTATTTTACCCAATTAAACTAAATAAATTAAAAACATTTAATTTATTTTTATAACATATCAAACGCAATTGTTTTTTGATAAGAAATATTTATATTTTCATTCTTATAATTATTCAGATTCTCATTCTCACTTCACTCATTTTTATAAACCAAAATAAACATTAATCAATTGTTCACATTATGTGAAGAGTGGTCTCAGCCTTGTTTGGGGTGGAAAACAACCATTGTTCTCCTAATATAAAATTATCTAATTTACACATACCAATAAAATAATTTTAACTAAATTTATGTCTTGAAACATCTTTCCATCATTATACGTACTCTTACCCCCAACTAGTACTCTTAATTTCTTAGCTAAATTTTTCAAGCAAAAGTGAATATCAAGGAATTGAAAATATATTCGCCATAACAAATCTATGACTTGATGACCATTCCCTCAATTGCTTGGCCTCTACATCTAATGCATGCGCTCGATTTTAGGATGTTGTAACTATACGTACGGTCATTAACCAGTGTTGCCTGTAAAAAAGAATTAACATTTTAAATTACCAAAACAGCATATGAATCTCAGGGAACTCAAGTGCAAATACTTTCATATCCCAGAAGGACAAAAAGAAAAAAATTAGAAAACGATATGGACCAGCATGCATGTGCATTGTATATGTTCCTTTTGCTCTTTCCTAAGAAAGAGACGACCAAGCCAATTGGAATGGAATGACCACAAGGACCGGCCTATCGAGAAAAGATTCAAAAGGCAAAATCACCAAATAAGATATTTAAAGGACAAAGTAATTAACCCTAGTATTTCAAGATTACAACACGTATACATCTCCAAAGCAAACCACAGTTGCCAGCCACTGCCCATCAGAACGGGTAAAAATTCTTATCATGGGAGGTTCGTGTAGGAGATAACATCTCATCTTGCTCAGATTGTCCTTTCACTTTTGATAACCACATGCCAGCATGATTACTTGAAAATGAAATTAGAAGTTTATAGTACAAACATATACACTAATTTGGCTTCTAATATCTGAGAAGAATACAGAATGGCAATCACCAAATGATAAATAGGATAACAACAATTAATATAGCGTTCACTTTGGAACATCTGACTCGTGCAGCACAGAACACAAAACACTACAGTTGAAAGAGGCTCACAAAATGTGTAATCATCACATCATGCAAACAATCACACTTCTCAGTCAAGAGATTGACTATGGGGCAGGCATCAATAAGAAATCACCTATCAAAGAAATGTAATGAGTCACCATATTTTACCCCAAAAAAATACAATCGGAGGTTCACAAAGACAATTTGAAAGGAAAGGCTTGTGCCAGTTTACATATATCCTTCGGACATGCCTAACTACCATCAACCAAGAGGAATCTTGAGTGAAAATCACAGAATGAGCAAATGGTAGTCTACCAGGGAGTTGCCTGTCCCTAGCACTCCATGTACTTTTCCCAACTTGAGGCCTCCTCAATCCAAATAGTTAGGCTTCACATAAATGGAGTATGCAAATAGCACACCTGAATTAGCAATGGTGCTGCAAATTATCTTCCGTGATGACTCGCTCTTAACTTGACCAAGCAGATCAGTTTCTGCAAAGCCTCCAGCTGTGACGTGTGTAGCATCAGGGAAGAAACCTTCTTTTGGTTCTACAGAAAGAACATCTAAACAATATGAGAAGACTGCACTATAAGCATTGCTGATTCATTGAACAATGAGCCCTTCTACTCTGCTTATCCGGCAAGCGATCTGTCAAAAATAAGCACAGAACAAATGAACAGAGAGTGTGAATGAAATTGAAACCAACAAAATATAAGATTTTATTCACATGCTTAGCAAGGGATATACAAATTGTCTCTAAAGAAATGATGTAGAAATAAAATCCAAGTACACACCTCGACAGATTGGTACTGCCCCAGTCAAGGCACTAGCTGCATGCGTATGAGGACTCAGCATAAACATAGATCCATTTCTTCAGCAATTTTTTCACATGTGGTTCACATGTGGTTTGTTCACAGAATATAGAAAGAGACTTCTGCAAAATATAACACAGAAAGCAGGCATTAGTTTGAAAATTTTGTAACACAAGGAAAGAAGATGTTAAAATATAAATGCGTATGGTTTACATATCTAGCGATGACCAAAACGAGCAGGGGAATCATGGACAAGGAATATGCCCTTCTTATTTAACATGGCTCAAAAGAATGGGAGTTGGCAGTGATCAAACAAGTGACCAATTAGTAGTTGGTCATAAAGACTTTAATACCATGTCATGGACAAGGAATATGCCCTTCATTAGTAATTTTGTTCAGTTAGTTAATTTCCTGTCTTTCATTAGATACCCACGCCAACTACTACGATCTGACCTAAAACAGAAGCAACCAGCGAAAAAGGTTTTCACATAAAAGATAGCCAGAGAGTACTCCAGTTTCAAAACCAACAAAGTAATAATGGTTGAAATACAAATTGAAGAATCAAATATTAGACGCCCCAAATGCCGAGACTTCAAAGCCCGGCTGTAATTCTGTGGATTTCATAACCCAATGTAGCATCCCAGCATCCCATCAAGCTGTGAGGAAACAAAGATGGCTGAGAATTTTGAACATATTTCACCAGCTAGTGCTAAAAATCAAAGTTTTGATGTTTCGACGAAACACAAAAGTATGGGATCATTAAGCTGCTTTTTCTACTTCATTGCTTGCAGGAAGCTGGCCACACATTCATATCATGGCAGACATATATAACGGTTAAAAATGACCCAAAACTTTCACATATTCATATCATCAACATTTGTACTCCAAGTGACACCTAAAACTCGTCCTGATATCGAACTCATTTAATAGAAACCTAGCAGAGTACATAGAGAATCTATAGCAAGCCTTATAATTCGGGAGAAGAAATCTCACCATTAACCCGAGATTTGACGATATGGACGTAGGTCCAAAGTTTGATTTAACTTTTTAATGATAAATTTCTCTCGGGAGAACAAAAGGCCGTTTATCCCAAATGGACCTAACAATGATAAAATCCGGTCTTTTTACCATAAAGAATGAATTAAAAAAATAAATAAATATTCTTATCACTGTTTCTCTTTTAAGGATTTTCGTGTATTAAAAGATTAATAAATTTTATTCCACATGAATTGCCTGTAAAGTTGCGTTTCTTGGATTTGAATATTTACACAATTGGAACGACAAATATGATCACGGGTTTTAAAGGTAAGCCAATTTTCATCAATTATATTATGACTTCGATTTTTTTTTCCCCCCTTCCTTAGTCTGATGCAGAATTAATTTTCTGTAGTTATGAAATATTAGAAGTAAGAAATCATCACCTTATGGCCTATTTGGTAGCAAGGAATTGCAGGGAATCGCTCAGTTGAATTCAGCTGCTGAAATTCTTCAAGATCCAATAGAAGTGGGGAGATCATCCAACTTGAGGCAGCTTCTTTGTGAAAGGAGCAACCATTGTAGATTTGCAGTTGATGGCGAAGTCAACGGCCGACTGATGACGAGGAGGAAGACGATGGTCGCTTGAAAACAAACTCGAAGTGCATTGGTCGAAATATAATGCAACGAGTGCATGTATGCCCCTGCAAACATAAGGAGGCTGTAATTAGTAGGTACAAACCAAAAAGTGATACTAGGAACAGAAATCATATCGACCACTACCACTAAAACTACAGTACCATACCTTTTTGAAGTGAATGGGAGCCATATATGTATCAAGTTGAAGTGGCGGGCACATCATTCAACTTGAGGCTTTAATGCCCTTTATTTAGATCGAATTTTTTTAATGTAATCTCGACATTCAGCTATGGGGCATACCCCACATTCTTTGATCTTTGCTTCTGTTATCACTTTGCCACGCGGCTTACGGAGTCTGAATTTAATTTCAACACATGGACGATAAGTCTTGCTTTGGGCATCTCTTTCCTTTGATTCAATCTTCCTTTTTAGTTGTCGCAATGAATCTGGACGATACCAAACAAAAACATGATCTGACGACGTCTGCTCAATCGCCAAAGACGAGCTGTCCTCAACCCTGCAAGCATATTGACCATCAACAAACCATCTGACCTCAATGTCTGTCCACTGTGGTAATTCAGAAACGACGGCTCCAAAATAGAATCTCCCATCCCAAGATCGTGGAATCGAACAGAGATTCACAGTCATGGGATCCTCTTTAGTACTCCTAGACACGAACCACTTTGGAAGTCTTTCTCCTGGATATTCCAATCTAGCAAAGTCATAAATGCCTTTATTTATCTCAAGTAGCACTCTTGCCTCAGCAGCTTTGATTGCCCGTCGATTCAGCTTCTTGCAATTTGTGAATATAAAGCACGGACATGCCTTATCTTTTCCTTCTTCACCTTTGTTTATCAAAGGTGAATATTGTATGGTCTCAAGGGATACGCAGTTAGCGGCATTCAATGTCAAGAGGGAGGGAGGGAGCTCTGGTAGAAGACGAAGCCTTTTACATCCATCCAGTTTAAGAGATCGCAGGCTTGAAAGACGTTTGATGTTTGAAGGCAACGTCCGCACATGAGTCCCTGAGAGATTTAACTCAAGTAATGATGACAGCAACCTGATGTCATTAGGAAGTTCAGATAATTCATTGCAACCCTGAAGCCATAGAACTTCCAAAGCACGCATCTCCTCACACTTGGACAGGAGACATGATGCTAGCTCTTTACACCCTCGAGCTTCGAGACGTCGAAGGTCACCCAGCTTAATCAGTTTGTGAACACTTGTCACATTTCTGCAATTGTTTAGAGATAATGAACGAATTTTGCTGCGATGCCCACTTGATGAGCGCAACGCACCACTGATGGCAGTTCCTGAAAGGTCTAAATAGAACTCATTATTTTCTGAGGTCACTGAAAATTCCTTCAGACCTGAGCAACCACCTGCATCGAGCCGAATGAGAGATCGGAGATGGGTATCGCTTGTAAGGCTGGCAAGGGACTTGCAATGGCGTAGCCATAAACGACGCAGGCTGTGGCGAGATAAAATAGATGGATGAACACTTCGCAATTTTGAACACAGATCGAGATTAACATGTTTAAGACGTGTGGCCTTGGAAAAATCTGGGAGTTCAATCAAGTCTTCTGATTGAGCGAGCGTAATTTTGATTAAGTTTGGAAGATTCTGTAAAAACACAAATTACATGGTAAGATTGGCGGCCAAAACCAAATTAAATTACTCAACTATTCCTTTTTATAAGGTTTCGCTGCCTGTTTTGCTGGGAAAATTAGTTGAAATTAGCTATTGTCAACAAATTTTAAACTTTTCATAGTCTTAATCAATACTGCCTTCGATTGAAGATATCAAGTAACTAAATCACATAGTTTGAATAAAATCAGTTAAAAATAATAAATAATAAAAGAAAATGTAATTTATTTTCTTAAAACACGTCTATTTATGAAGAGGATAAGGGAGAGAAAAAATATGTAGAAGAAGAGATATGAGAGAATAAATAATTAAAAAAAAGAATTAGAAAGATACGTAATTAATTAAAAGTAAAAATAAAAATGATGTATTTAATGATTAGGTAAATCCAAATTATAACTTATAATAAAAAAAACAAAAGCTTCAATGATTTGATGCTTACTGTTCAACAAAGATAGTAATCTTTATAAGTAAAGATCATGGAGCTTAGTGAGAGGGTGAAAGACAAAGGCATTTATTTAGAATGGGTTATCAATATGTTATTGAATTTTGTAAGAGATTTTATCTGGACCGTATAAAATGGACTGAGGAGAGAGTACTTACTAAAGATTTTCCAACTGATGTATTAATAACATTTACTAAGGACAAAATATAAAATTCACCTGTACTCCATCCCAAAGTCTTCTCAAACTGCTGTGGGGCATTTCAAATTGAACAAGATTTTCAGCCTTGAATTTCACTGGCAAAGACTTTAAAGGGTATCCCATCCAACACAATTTTATGAGTTTTTCTGGCAAAAAGTCTATACCATCAGGCATTTGTAACTTGATTCCAACCCCATCATCGATTTTGTGATAAAAATAAAAATTAAGAATCTTTAGGTTGGGCATTGAACGAAAGGCCTTGGGACTTAAGCGCATCTCTCCAACTTCTGGAAGGTTCAGACTTACACCTTCAATGGCTTTATTGCTCTAACAAATGGAAAAAATAATTTTAGTAATAAAAATATTATGTAAATTAAATAGGAATACTGAAATCAAAAAAAAATTTATATAAAAACTATGAAGAAATTTTACTCTTACCTCTTTTCCCCCCAGTATTTCGGATATTTCTTTAGGATCCCATAATCGACTCCGCCTTGCGGGATGCTCTGGTGACTCATCACGAACAAGCTGTCGACCCATTTCTCTTAGCAGATCGTGCATTGATATTCTCCCAGATTCATCATCAACTTCTAAAAGAGCTGTCTCTCTTAGTCTTTTCAAATCATGAGCGATTGGATAACCACGTCGTGCTTCTAGCATCTCTCTTACCGTCACAAAACCATCAGTGAAAAGACATCCCTCAACATCATTATCACCATCAACATCACTGTCACCAGTTAAAAGACATGCGATATCCAAGAAACACTCTCTTTCTTTACTTAGAAGTCCTTCAAGACTTATTTTTAGGACTTTGTTAATTTGTAGATCAAATAATTTTGGAAGTTTTTTCAATCGGCTTTCCCAAACTTTTTGATCTTTCTCGTCAAACAAGGAGGAACCTAAAACTTTTAGCGCCAATGAATTTCCATTTGCATATCTAGTCACTTCCTGTGCCAACCTTCGTAGTTTTGTGCTAGAGGCAGAGCAGCCTTTTCCGAAGGCATGTAAAGAGAAAAGCTGAAAAGCTTCCTTGGAATCCAAACCCTTCAGTTGATATATAGCATCACGATCTACTTTAGCACCAAGGACTTGTTTATCTCTGGTTGTTATTAAGATTTTACTACCTGGTTTAAACCAATTGCGTCTTCCAACCAAACCGTTTACTTGATCATAACCATCAACATCATCCAAAACAATGAAAACTTCTTTCCGTTTAAGTCTTGTCATGTCATAATGGCTGGTGTGAGATATTTTATCCCCTAATAATGCCGAAATAAGATCTTTCTTCACAGCCTCTACTCCATGATTCTTTGATGTTTCTCCCACTTTTTCCACAAAATGATGAGACCCTTTGTATTCAGAACACCACTTGTTATACAATGCTCTTGCAAGAGTTGTTTTGCCCAAACCGCCCATCCCCCAAATGCAAATAATTCGGACATCGTTGGACCCCTTGTCCAACAATAATTCTACATCTTTCATTCTCTTTTTAATTCCAATGAAGTCTTCTAGATTATCTTCATTTGGACACTGATTGCGCAAAATTTTTGTAACCCTTTTCACTATAGTTTTAATTCGGTCTGCTTCATCATCTCTGCAAGCCATTGCAACAGTAAAGATGCACCAAATTTAATATCTTATTATCTATTCAAAATTTTGAACTATTCCTAATGAAATGCAACTTTGAATATTTGTCAATTTTTAAAATGTGTTACGTTCTTATTCTTAGAAACATTACTAGATAACTTAAAGCGGATATATAAAATTTCAGCTTAATTTAATTAATGGCTATGAATGCATCATAATGACCATAGTGAGATGAGGATTTAGATGAAAAATATCGTAACGATAAAGTTGATAGACCTAGTGGAATGGCCAAGCAAAGCGTGTGTCTACCTATATATGAGATCCTATACTCTCATTACGATTATCAACTCCCATGAGATGGTCAAAGATTGATTTAGTTTAGCCCCATGCATGGAAGAATATGGCAAGAGAAAGATCATAAGCATATAGTTACCCTTCGGAGATGCGGAAGCCAGCCAAATTGGCAGCAACAGTGAGAGACTTCTTCCACTTCTGCAGTAGTTGCTTGCTGATGCCTTTGCCCTCAAGTTTTACAAATGCTGTGTGGTAACTCTCAGATTGCTTCCTCACATGTGAAGGATCTACTCTATAGAACACTGGCACAACAAGGCGACGTTGATTTCTGGAGCGCTCTAATATTTTTGTAAGCTCCTCCAAGCACCACGTGGAAGATGCAAAGTTTTCTGAGAAGATCACAACATACATAGTTGAATCTTCAATGGCTTTCTCAAGAGATCGCCATAAATCCTTTCCTTTCGGAAGTTTGCGGTCGACAAATGTTTCTTTTATTCCGCTTCTGCTAAGAGCATCGCAAAGATGGCAGGTGAAACATCCGCGGGTGTCCTCACCTCTAAAACTTATAAAAATATCATGTGGCTTTGGATATTGAGAACATGGAACAGGGGAAGCCATATCAGATTGCTTTGATATGCAGAAGAATTAGGATTCACTTGTATATATAGGAAACAAAATGAATAATAGATAATTGTAAATTACAAATAAAAGCAAAGCTAAGTTCGACTCCGTGTGGCTTCTGAGAAGTTTCCCTAATTAAAGAAAGGCGGTCCTCCCAAGTTGGAATTTTCCAGTGCTCGTAGGGCCGTTGAAATGGAAAGGAATGAAGTGGAAAATTTGGTAAGTATTGAAATAGAAAATGAGTTAATGAAAAATTATATATTTGGTTGGCTAAAAATGGGTTGAAAAATTATGCAATCTTATCATATTACTCTTAATTAAAAAAATATAATATTTTTAAATAAAAAATACTTTTTAACCTTATAGAATAATAATATTATTAAAAAAATCAATAATTTAAAAAAATAAATAAAAGTCTATTATAATTTAAATAAATCAGAAAAGTTTGCATAAAGAATAAAATAAATTTAGAAGGAAAAAAAGAAGGAAATATAACCAAATAATCTATAAATCTAACGGATATAAATAAAGTCAATTAAAATGTAAATTTTTATATGACGTACATTTGTTAATTTAAATTTAATTGGATCAAATAATTTATTATTGAAAACTATTTGTATTTTGAAATTTATTTGCAAGATGGTGAGCAAACGTCACAAATTCAAATCTACTAAAAAAATTGAATTTGATGCAGCAAATTCAATTTTTTCTACATCAAATTCAAATTCAAATTAGAATTTGTATCAACAAATTTCAATTTATGCACCATCCATTCTAACTTTGCGCATAAAATTTGAATTCATTACATTTCTATTACACTCTGTTTTTAATGTTTTGAGCAAAGTAATTTTTTATTATATATAACTCTCAATTTAAATTTAAATTGAGCAAATGACTTATCGTTGAAAAGCTCTCTGAGTTTAGTTTTTAATACAATAAGACCCATTCAAAAACACTTTATAATTTTAAAGTTATGATAAAAAAAAGTGAGCAATTTTCAATAACAAGTATTTTTTTCAAATCAAATAAATCATTTTTATCCAGAATTCATAGGAACAAAAGAGGCCCGGCTAGATACTGACCTGAGTGGGCTGAAAAACAAGTTTTTTTTTTAATTCTATAAACATTTATTCCCACGAGATTTTTTTTTCTCACCAGATTTTGAATCATATTTGAAACATCTTATTTAGTTAATATAGGAACATTTTTTATTGAGGTTTATATTGTTAATAGTCTTATTGAATGAAGGTTGATATTTGTTGGCCAATTTCTTTGGAGATTGAAAAGACGAAGCAGAGGAAGAAGATGAAGCCATATCAAATTGCTTGGCTACGATATGCCAAAAAAAGGGGACTGCTTTCGATTCAGATCTAAGAACGATTGGTAATAGGAAACAAACCGGCCTAAGAGGAAGATATATAAGATTTTAGGGGAATAGATTGAGTCAACCAAGTCAATGAAAGATGGAACAAAATGAATAATAAATAATCATAATAAATTATAAATAAAAGCAAAGCTAACTTTTAGAGATTTATCATAATACAGCTTCCATACGTGTGACTTCTGAGAAGTTTCACATGGCCTGATCCTCAAATTTGAAATTTCAAAGAAACACGGTCCGATCCTCCTACCCAATTAGTAGTGTGTGGAAAAGACAGCACTAAATCAAAAACATAGTATAGAGAGTAAGGAAATTCCACTGATCCTGTCTCCAAAATGTTGATCAAATATCTTTGAGACCTTCACCCAAAGCTTTGATCAAATTTTCTAAGGGATGGTCCAAACAGAAAAAGAAAATAAAAAATCCCAAGAAAATAGAAACGCCTGCGATCAAATGTCCTAATGAAATTTGGATTAATAAAGCACTATAATTACACCTCTCTTACTTATGTTGCATGTTTAGTGTTCGCCTCTAGAAAAATAAGTTTGAACAAATACTTATTTTCTTCAAAAAATAATAACGTATATTATCAAAACATTTAACGTGAAAGCCAGAGCCAGTAAGCATTGGAGGAGGGGAGGGTGTGACTGTGAGTAAAAAACGCGGAGGAACAAGTACGGATGGCGCGTGACAATGAGAATGGTGGAGCCTCATAAATAGTCATGTGTCTTATTTTGAGGAATGATGTTAAACAATGTTTTGTATAAAATACCCCTTATGAATAAATAAAATAACTCAGCACTTTTTATCGTGCCAGTCTGTTGTCATATAGTTTTTCTTCTTGATGAATGACATTTATATTTTTACCAAAAATATATGACCTAGCCCACCTTGGATTGAAGTTGAGAAAATGCAAAGTGTAAATTGAGGGTAGGAGTAGAAAAAAGAAGAAAAAGGGGTTTTAAGATATAATAAGTTAATGCTAGCGAAGCTTGCAGGAAGTTCACAAAACAAACAAATAAACAAAAAAGTAGAATAAAGCTACTTTTGACTTTCATACGGAGATCGTCAATCTGCCTACGGAAATGGAATCTCTTTGTTGGCTTTTTGGTATATGACTCAACCGACCCGTATAGTTATTGGCTTCGTGTTTCAAAAAGTGTAGGGTGCTTTAATGAGGAAGTGAATTCGGGTCAAGTGAGGCCTCATCCATGATAGTTGATCAAGGAGCTGATTCATTACCTATAAAGTTATGAGTTTTAATTCTGCTATTGATGTAAGGACTTTGTTAATAAATAATTTGTAAATATTTATATAAGCACTTTTTTGGTCTAAAAATATATCAAAGTCTCTGAGACCTAATTCATCTAAATTATTTTAGAAAAAAAAAGTGAATCCTTTAGAGGATTTTTTTTCCGTAACTTATTCTAATGCCCATCATAACAATGACATCTAACCTTTTTAATATTTTTAATCTGTAATTTTGTTATAATAAATATTTTTTTTTAAGAAGTGACAGTGATAAAATTATCTTTATTTTGAATTTTGTATATATTAAAAAATTATTTAATTTATAAAAATATTAAATTGAATTAATAATCTAAAATCAATTTAGGTAGTTCTTATTATGATGAGGGTATTGTACATAGTAACTTCACATTTTTATTATTGGTTTTTTTTGGGCTGGTAAAAAAAAGAAAGAGAAGTTTTTAGTACTGTTCGCCTCTGGAAATATAAGATTGAACAAGTACTTATTGTCTTAAAAAAAACATATATTATCAAAAAAATTTAAAGTGAAAGCCAGAGCTAGTAAGCATTATAGTTTTAAAATTTCAAAACTGCAAGTTTTGACAAATTTTATTATATTTATTATTAGCCCTCATTTCCTCTCCTCTTGATAGACCAAAAAGCCACTCAATTGCGCGTAGAGGATGGTGTGGTGTGACTGTGAGTGAAAAACACGGAGGAATAAGTACGGATTGCCCGTGACAGGGAGAATGGAGGAACCTCACTCTGTTTGGATGGGCGTTAAAACCAACAAACGTGTCTTGGTATTAACATTTATACCTTGTTTGGGCAAACTTTTATTCCGATGAGCTAAGCTAAAATTTGAGCTTTTTTAGTTTGTAACGTGGAGAGAGAAACAAATGAGGATTTAAAAAAAAGAGAATAATATTTAAGTGGATCCTATACTAACCCCATAATTTAATTTTTTGTGTTAGTAATAATTTTTTTAATACTTACAATTTTTTTTAAGAAAAATATTTAAGTTAGACTACTTATATTTATTATATTAAGTTCTCTAATTGCATATGATCATGTGTTCATTTTTTTCATGTAAGCTTATAATTAAATATTATTAAATGTAAATATTTTAAAAAAGGACATATGGTCATGCGTGATCGGAGAATTTGACATAATGAATATAAGAAAATTGACATGAGTAATGTCCTTTTTTTTTAATAATGTGTTAACTCTTTTTATTTTTATAATTTTTATTTTTACTTATTATTTTTCTTAAATTTATTAAACTATATATATGAGATATGTGTTGATTTTTCAGTCATTTTACATGTAAATTTCCTTTTCTATTACTCATCCAAATAAGTTTCAATTAAGCAAAATGACATTTATAACAAATCAATCCAAACATAAATCACATTATGCTAATTGACTTTTATCCGAACTGATTTTTGCAAAAGTCATATGGAATAAGAATCAATTTTGTCACACCTAATCCAAAAACACCATAAATAATTATTTGCATCGTATTTCATATATAATATTTAATTAATTTTAACTAATTTTTTATTTACATAATTCAGTTGGTTGTCATTTATTATGTTTGAATGAGTTTTTAAACTCAAATTTGTTGACAACATGTTCGAATGGGCATGCGTTTCATTTGCATTAAACAAAATAAAATAACTAATTTTTTTTCTAAAGATGCAAAGGCAAGCAAAACTTGAAAATAGATAGCCTGCAACTTAGTTTTAATTGTGTCCCTTAGCCTTCATTCCTTACTGAAAGCAATTACGTCAACAGAAGTTAAAAGAAAATCGCTCCTAAGTGATCTGTCGGCAAAACGAGCCTAATGGTTGCTCGAATTCCCTTATTTTAAAAAATTTTGTATTGTGTGAGAATAATTTTTATTCATAAAACGTAAAAATAAAATTTTAATTGATTATTAGAGGCATTTAGCCAATGATGTGCAAGTTTTGACATTTTTAATTATTATTAGCTCTCATTTCCTCTCCTCTGTAATCAAACGAGCTAACATAGAGGATCGTTTGATTTCCATTTTTGAACCTTTTTTAGCCTTTACCAAAAAGCTTGGTTGCGTAAAATGCATATTATTGTACTTTTTCCTATCCTAGTTGGTTAGAATATTTGTTTTGATATTAAATATAAAATTTTAATCTATTTTATTTGTTAAATTCATAAATTTTACTTAAACTATCTCTATTTATTGTGAAAAATAAAAAATATGATGCGTGTAATTAACTGAAAGTAAAAATAAAAAAAATTAAACGATGATATATTTTAAAAGTATATACCGAAGCCAACCCAAAAAGTTCCCGCAAATGTTTCCACTGATACGGATTGCGGGTGACGG